CCATATGGCTGCCAGTTCTAATCCGGCAGCCCCGCTTCCCATCCAGGTCCCTGCCTGTGGCCTAGGAAAGCAGTCGAGGACAACCCAAAGCCCTTGGACCCTGCATCCACGTGGGAAACCCAGAAGAGGCTTCGGGCACCTGGCTTGGGATTGGTGCAGCTCTGGCCATTATGGCCACTTGGGGAGTGAATCAACAGATGGATGATCTCTCTGTCTATCCTCTTCTCTGTATTTTTGACTTTACAATAAAAAACCTTAAATTTTAGTTCTTACTGTACACAATACAAAACTATGTTAATGTTACATTCTTTTCAACGAGAAAGCAGATCAACTTAAGATACCACACAGCACACTAAGAATCAGTATGAGTACATGAAACTGCACAAAAGCCAGGTGCAAGGCCAGGTGCACGCTGGGTAAGCTGCACCTCTCCACCCCCGCCGTAAAACATAAACCCCAAGAGAACACACTCCGCTTCTCTCCTCTGCTGTACCTTTGGTCTGAAAACACAGGAACCATTTAGCACTTACTAGTTATGCCATTCCATTCAAAACATTTTTTCCTACACCATTTCTGATCCAACAGCTTAATCTTAAAAATAAAACAAACGCGGGATTTTTTTTTAAGCAGAAATATCTGTGGCTTTAAGCCTTTATATGAAACTGTATACTTAAAAATGCTGTGGGGCCCAGTGCAGTAGCCTAGTGGCCAAAGTCCTCCTCTTGCACATGCCAGGATCCCAAATGGACACCGGTTCATGTCCCAACTGCTCCACTTCCCATCTAGCCTCCCTGCTTGTGGTCTGGGAAAGCAGCTGAGGATGGCCCAAAGCCTTGGGACCCTACATCCACATGGGAGACCCAGAAGAAGCTCCTGGCTCCAGATCAGCTCAGCTCCAGTTGTTGAGGTCATTCAGGGGAATACATCAGAGGAAGGAAGATCTCCCTCTCTCTCTTCTTCTCTCTGTATCTCTGCCTTTCCAGTAAAAATAAATACATTAAATTTAAAAAAATATTTAAGCTGTCTGCAAGCAACCCTGAAAGCCTGTAACTCATACTAATTTGGCTTTCAGCTGAGCTTGGTTTTGTGTGGAATTGGTCAAGGAGCTTAGCTGACTTTCCAGCATTCACACCTCCAGGCAGACATTGTTCCCTATGCCTGCATTTGTGTGCTATCTCTTTCATTAACGGTCTAAAGAAGTCATACAATTTTCAGTGACACTTCACTGCATTTTACAAAACACACACATACAGTGCTTATATTTGCAATTTTAGAGTAACAAAATTACTGCTGCAAGATTTAGCTGACCCACTCACGCAGTTTATAATTCGACACATTGTTACAATTCAAACTAAAGCCAATTCTTTATACACCAGGTCTAAAACTTTGAAAACACAAACTAGAGTTTTATTATATTCAATTTACATTGTAAAATGCCATGCTAACACAGAATTTACTGTATCAGAAAGTTTAAAATACATACCTCCCCAAAACCGGAGAACAGATTCCAGAATCTGTCCCCCGCATCTCCCCCCTCCCAGCCCCTCCCACCGGACCTGGAAGCCCACGGGTCTGCAAATCCCTCCCTCATGCAACCAACAGTAAAACAACAAAAAATAGTTGACAAATAAAAACATCAAAAGGCATGCTCACTGCCAACATTCAAAGCCACAGTGAGTTTTTCTTTCTGAGGAGAAACTAAACTCAAAAATACTCTCCCGTGCCTAAGTCACTGTAAAATCCAGAAAGGGACTAGTGCAAGAATCAAAACCACTCACACTCATTTTTGGAAAAACACATGAACCACATGCTAGGAGCCAGGCGCTGCACTGAGGCAGAACAAACACAAGGACCCACTCATCACTCACAAAACCCAAACCAGTAACAGGAAAAAAGAATGAATGACAAATATCCCGACAGACAGCAGTGTACATTACTATAATTAACTCAGATGAAGTAAAACCAGGAAAGATTTCCTGAGTAAGAAGAGATTCAGGTTTAGGCCACAAAATTAAAGTTTGGATTAGCCAAAACCAGCAGCATTCTAGATAAAGGGCGAGAGACTCTAGAGATGGGTTGGAAGGAAGAGGGCGAACAGGAACAAGATCACAGAGGAGCCTGCCAGATGTTTGGTAATTTAGACTTTATTCTAAATCAACAGGAAACAACTAGAAGGTTTAATGCAGAAAAATGACCACACTAAAACAACAGGGTGGAAGTGAAGACTGGACTGAAATGAGATGCCAGGGGAGCCGTGAGGAGGACAGAGGCTGCTACTACTGCAGGTGTCTTGGGTTACAGAGGATGAAGGAATGGACTAGGGCTGTGGAAACTGACAGAAAGAGAAGATCTGCTGGAGGAAAACGAGGCAGGACAGGGCTGTACAATAACTAGCAGGATGGGCCTGGGAGGGGCAGGCAGTGACTTAGCGCCTGAGGGGATGGTGACAACCCCCTTCGTGGCAGGCGACAGTTTTCTCTTCAGCTACACACATGGATACAAACAATGCAAAACTATTTTGATTCTGGCATGTTTCTAAAATATTTATTTGAAACGTAGAGCTATATAGAGAGGGAAAGTTAGAAAGAGAGCGAGACCTCCCATCTGCTGGTTTATCCCCCAGTGCCTACAGCAGCCATATCTGGGCCAGGCTATAGCCAAGAGCCAGAAACTCCAGCAGGCTAACAAGGATGACAGCACACTGCTGCTGCTTCCCCAGGCACACTAACAGCCAGATCAGAAGTGGGGCAGCCAGGACTCAAACCTGCGTTCATGCGGGATGCCAGCACCGCAAGCTTAATTCTGTCACATCACTGGCCCTATCTTCCACCTATGCTACGTAAAAGAAGAAATTCACATCACACACACACACACACCTCACCACCACCACCACCACCCCCCCACCCCCGAAAGGAAATTCAGCACAGCAAAGCTTACAGACCTTGGCTTAGCAGTCAAGTCTACTCAGGACATTACTGTTTCAGCCCCAAATACCCGGCTCTCACACCTGCCTGCAGTTCCTCCAATTCCCCGCTGGCCAGACCCTAGGAAGCAGCAGAAACAGCTGGGAGTAGTCCCCGTCATCCAGCTGAACCAAATCCACTACCTTCCAGTCCTCGAGCCTGCCAAGTGTTCCGGGAGTGAACCAACAAGTAAGAACCCTCTCTCAAATTCAACAACAACAAAAAAAACCCTAAAACAAAAAGCCCACAAAACCCCATACAAATCCAATTAAAAAATAAATTCACAGATGAAAACATCAAGAACGGTCAGTACTTCCAAAAACTAAAATGGTGTCTCAACACGCTTTCCTTGAATTTAGATTAACACACTAAGCACAGAGGTAGCTGTTTGATAAAAAAATATTCTGGCTGTTCTTACGGTAGGATTTTGGTTCTTAAGATACAAATTTCAATAAAAAAAAAATCTGCAAAAAGCACTATTCTCTGAAACTGAATGTCCAGAACAAAAGGCAATCTTAAAAACCCATTCATTCATTTATTTATTTATTCCTTCAGAAATGGGTGTCCTAAGCCTCTTTCGATAACTAATGCTAGCTAAAGCAAATCAGCCTCTTTTAAAATATTTTAAGGTTCTTTCTATTTTTGACATCTTGGGCATTCTGTTTAAGTTTGGCTCTGTTAAAACACTTCTTCCATAAAACTCCAATCCCGCGAAAATACAGACCGCTCTTAGGAAATACACATCACTGCCTTGAAACTCCTGCGCCTGGTAAATTTCACAGTTTACACGTCACTCTATCTGTAACATACATGTGTACGTATTTCTGTCAGTGATGGATTAGACGACAGACCTTTCTGTACACGGCAAAAACGGAAAACGCCACGTGCGTCCCCTTGAAGCAGTTTCTCTATTACAAAATACAAATCTCATCACAATGACTTGATCTCCGACAGCCAGCCTGCTGCTCCAGATGCTTCCCATCCCGGTACCTAGCAACCCCCTCTGACATCCCAGGGGCTTCTCCCGCACCATGTTTCATCACCTATCTAGGGAGCTGCTGGGGAAAGAGTCCTGTCCGCACCGACGGACCACACTCGGGCACATAGGCTGCGTCCCGACTACTCTGAGAAATGGGTGAAAGCCACTTCCCTCGTGTTCTCCTTCGGTCTCCATACTTTAAACAAGAAAAAAAGGAGGTCCCATACTCTTAAAAAAAAAAAAACAGCTTCATCAACTCGACCGAACTTGCTGCGTCCCAGGGACTCTCCTCCACACACGTGTATATGAGGCCATCCAAACGAGAAACACTTCTCCCCTTCCCGCAAAACAAAAAAAAGTTTTCCAACCATTCTACCGTAACAGAGTAAAGAATATCTTGGCTACAGCTCCCCAAGTGATTCTTGTTTCAACAGCGGCCTCAGACTTCGCTGCTGATGAGCAAGAACTTTTTCAGATCTGCGGGACGTCCTGAAAGAAGGCACTAATCCAACAGTTGGGCTGAGGGTGACAACGGAGCATCTACTGCTCAAACAAAAGAAGGCTTAGACTTAGCGTTAAGAAAAACTACCTCCGGAAAGAACACACCTCTAAAGCTGTAAATTTAAAAATATATGGTTTTTTTTTCAATAAACATACTTCATGGGGATCGTAATTCAAACTGTCCCTGATTTGACAGGGACGGCCAAGTTTGTTCCCCCCTCCCACCCCCAAGAAATGGAGGTTTAACCTTAGGGATTCGCCCCTACACGAGAGGCAAGAGGAAGACTCGCACTCCCTAGACCTCAAAGGGGGAAGAGAAACTAGAAAAGGGTCACAGTGAGAGAGGCGGAGAAACAGAGAGAGCTCTAGCGGGCCACACGGGGTCTGCAATTTTTTTTTTTGGAAAAAAAAATTTTTTTTTTAAGTAAGTCGAGCCCAAAGCGCCCGACGGGCGAACTCGGAAGTCTGGGCGTCCCGGCGACAATGAGGACCGCCGGCCCGCGCCGACAGCGGCCCCCGGAGCCGCCTTCCGCCCGCTCGGCAGCAGCCTGACCCACCTGGAGACCGCCATGGCCGGGCGCCGGCGGTTCCGAAGGAGCGCCCGCGAGCTACGCGCCGCGCCGCCGACGCGCTAGTCGCCCAGGCCGCCTAGCGCAGGGGAGCGGCCGGTCGGGCGCGGGCTCTCGAGCATCTGCCTCGCCGACCGGCTGGAGCTCTTCGCCGCCGCCGCCGCCGAGGACGGGGAGCAGGGGGGTTCGAGAACGAGGCGGAGGCGGCAGTCCTCCCAAGCAGCACGACTTCAAACCGGGTGCCCCCAGCCCCGCTCTTTGCTGACGCAGGCGTCGGCACGCCGGACTGAGCGTCAGCGCGCCGGAAGTGACGTCACTCCCCGCGAGCGGCGCCGCTCCTGTGGGTGAGCGGCTTGGAGGAGCTCGGTGCTGCGGGTCGGAAGCAAAGTTTTTTTTTGAAAGATTTCTCTGCTCCAGAGCCTGGACAAGAAGGGAGAAAGTAGTGGCTCCTCCTTTCCCAGAGACGAACGTTTGGCAAAGCTCAAAACCTGCGTTTTCTATTTCTCCATCTCCTACCGGGTTTAACGTGCGCTCGCCGTGGTAGCGATGCCAGCGACAGGTCTGTTGTGAGCTGCAGGCAGTGAGGTGCTGATACCCCACCCGTGTGGTCCCCATACCTCCCAGCCCACTCCCTGTCCGTGCAGGGTGACCCCAGTCCTGAGCTCCCTGCCATCCCACGTGGGAGACCCAGAGGGGAGCTCCTGCCTCCTGGCGTCGACCTGGCCCAGCCCTGCCTGTTGCAGACCATCTGAGGAGTGAACTAGCGCATGGCCCCATCTGCTTCTCCCTCTATGTAATTTGCCTTTCAAATAAATTAATAGATTTTTTTTTAATCTGCAAGACCAAACCCTACACGATTGGTTCAATTTCTGCTTGCAACTGAGAGGTTTGCACTTGTTTGTTTTGTAAAATTATGTCTTTTTATTGCTAAGGCAGATTTACAGAGAAAAGGGGCAGATCTTCCATCGGTTGGTTCTCTGCCCAAGAGGCCACAGTGATTGGAGCTGAACTGATCTGAAGCCGGGAGCCAGGAGCTTCTTCCTGGTCTCGCACGTGGTTGCAGGGTCCCAAGCACTTTCATCTCCATTGTTTTCTCAAGCACAATAACAGAAGAGATTGGAACTAGAGCAGCTGGGATTTGAAACAGTACCCGTATGGGATACCAGCAAACGGTGGCTTAATGTGCTGACCCACAACATTGGCCCCATGTATATATTATCTGCTTATTTGGAAGGCAGAGTTACAAAGAGAGCGAGAAAGTTATTCCATTTACTGATTCCCTCTCCAAATGGTCACAAAAGCTGGAGCTGGGCCAGGCTGAAACCAAGAGCTTGGAATTCTGCCTGGTGTCCAAGGCTGACACACTTAGGCCATCTTCTGCTCTCTTACCAGAAGCGTTACCTGGAGAGCCCCTCAGAAGGGGAGCAGTAGGGATTGGAATGGGAACCTGCATGGGATGCTGGCAATGCACCACAATTCCCATACCTAACAGACAATGTCTTAATGCATGGAAGACATTTGCCACTGGGGAAAAAGTAAACTTGAACCTACTAAATTCTGCATATTGCAAGAAGGAGAGTGAGAGAATGGCTATTCCATTCTCTCTGTCTCTCCTTCTCTATTTTATCATTTATTTATTTGTATCGGAAACTCAAATTTACAGAGAGAAGAGACAGAAAGATCTCCCTTCCACTGTTTCATTCTCCAAGTGGCCGCAACGGCTAGAGCTGAGCCAGTCTGAAGCCATGAGCAAGGAACTTCTTCCTGATCTCCCACACGGGTGCAGGGTCCCAGAGTTTTGGGCCATCCTCAACTGATTTCCCAGGCCACAAGCAGGGAGCTGGGTGGGAAGTGGAACAGCAGGGATGTAAACTAGCACACCCATATGGGATCCTGGTGCATGCCAGGTAATGATTCAGTCACTGAGCCATTGCACTGGCCCGTGTTCAATGTCTGTTTAAAAAACAAACAAGGAAGAAGGGAGACCCAGGGAAGCTCCTGGCTTCAGATCAGCCTACTCTGGCTGTTGTGGCCACTTGGGGATTGAATCAGTGATCAGAAGATCTTTCTGTATCTCCTTCTCTCTGTATAGTTCTAATAAAAATTTTTAAAATAAATAAATGTTAAAAAAAAAGAAAAGAACAAGGAAGAACTTTGAAAGAAACAACATAAACTTGTCAACATTTACAAAATTGAGCTATATTAATAAATCACTATGTGGTGGAGGTGGAACTGTCCTTCTATTACCCAGGAAATGAGAACACAGCTAACTTAGAACAATGGCTTATTAGGAGAGCCCAACAGCTGGGCTGCCTTGCCTCCGACATCACCAATCCAGGATGAAGGAGGAGAAGGAAGGAAAAAGAAGAAATATTTGTCTCAAGAAAACAAGCATCTCGGGCCCGGCGCGGTGGCACAGTGGTTAAGGTCCTCGCCTTGCACGCCCGGGATCCCATATGGGCGCCGGTTCTATCCCGGCAGCCTTGCTTCCCTTCCAGCTCCCTGCCTGTGGCCTGGGAAAGCAGTGGAGGACGGCCCAAAGCTTTGGGACCCTGCACCAGTGCGGGAGACCCGGAAAAGGCTCCTGGCTTCGGATCGGCATAGCATCGGCCGTTGCGCTCACTTGGGGAGTGAATCATCGGACGGAAGATCTTCCTCTCTGTATATCTGCCTTTCCAATAAAAAAATAATAAAAATAAATCTTTAAAAAAATTATTTCGAATTTTAACATCAAAATTATAAAATCTGTACTTACATTGTTGCCTCATACTTAAATACAAAAATAAATTTTAGATGAATTAATAGATTAAAATCTACAATTGATCTATATAAAATGCATGCATGTTAAATTTTATATATGACACTCTCAGAGTAGGTGGTGTGGCATAGCAGCTTGGGCAGCTGCCGAAGATCCCGGGATTAAGTGCCTATCTCCCCTTCCAATCTGGCTTCCCTTAGAGGCACACCCTGGGAAACAGCGGGAGACGCCTCAGCAGCTTGGGTCCCTGCCACCACTTGGGACACCTGGGTACGGAGCTCAGGATTCCTGGCTCCGACCTAACCCAGCCCTCGCTATTGCAGCCATCTGGATGGAAGAGTCTCTCCCACTCTTTTCTGTTGCTTTTTCAAATTAATAAATATACTTAAATAGCCCCAATGAGATTGGGTATGAGTGAGAGCTTCCCCTTTCTGTAACCAAGTGCGAAAACGACATCTGTGAATGAGGGGGAACAGGAGAACCTTTGCATTGTTCTAATCATAGTACAGGCCCAGGCCTGTGGCTGCAGCATACAGAGGGAGGCACGGAGCTAAAGAAAGCATGGAGTGGAATATTTTTTTTCAATCTACCCATTTCCACTGAAAAGGCAGATGTACGGAGAGGAGGCAAGAGCGAGGGGAAGATCCTCCATCTGGCGATTCACTCCCCAAGCGGCCGCAACGGCAGCCGGCGCTGCACCGATCTGAAGCCAGGAGCCAGGAAATTCTTTCTGGATCTCCCAAGCAGATGCAGGGTCCCAAGGTTTTTGGGCCATCCTGGACTGCTTTCCCAGGCCACAGGCAGGGAGCTGGATGGGAAGTGGAGCTGCCAGCATAGAACCAACGTCTGCATGGGATCCCAGCGTGCTCAGGGCGAGGACCTTAACCACCACACTATCGTGCTGGGCCCAGAGGGTGGGGGGGGGGGGGGGGGGGAATATTTTAACATTGATTTTTAAGAAACAGCATATAGGACTGCTTAGGCCTATGTACTTTTTGAAAAAATGTTTGGTTTTGCTCAATTTGCACGCACCGGGATCCTATATGCACACGGATTTGTATCCCAGCTGCTCCACTTCCCATCCAGCTCCCTGCTTGTGGCCTGGGAAAGCATTTGAGGACAGTCCAAAGCCTTGGGACCCTGCACCCATGTGGGAGAGCCGGAAGGGGCTCCTGGCTTTGTTTTGACTTTTAGCTCTGGCCGCTGTGGCCAGTTGAGGAGTGAACCAGAGGATGATCTTACTCTTTCTTCTTCTCTCTGTAAATAAATCTGCCTTTCCAAGAAAAATAAATAAACATTTTTTTAAAAGAAAAACTTTGGGGTCTCCCCAACGGCACACAGACCCCTGTTTAAGCTCCCCCTGTGTGATGCTCTCCAGTGGAGCTCTTTTGGAGAAACGCCGTCCATGGGCTTTCACTGTGGCACGGTCATCAAAGAAACCCAGAAGGTCTAAATTTTCATCCATAATATAATGAATATGTTTTTAATATGTTGTGTTATGGTCTGCATTCCTGTACCACCTGAGGCATGCCCTCCGTCTTGGCCGCCATGGCAGCATGCCCAGCAGTGCTTGGGGGCTCCTGCAGGATGGCCCACCCATCCAGGCAGGAGTGTTGGTGGGGATCGCAAGTGCATCATCGCTCAGTTCTTTCTGTTCTTTGTCACATTGTTATTTAAAGAACCAAGTGTGTATTGCATGAAAACATTATGATCTCTTCCTCTTAGTTTAAATAAACTCCAAGGTAACTGGACTTCTAACACCTCTTTCTGTTTGATATCTACTTTAGCAATAATTTTTTTATGACTCTCTGATTAAAAAGTAAAAGTATATTTTATTTTAATAAAAGTAGTATTTCAGAGGAGATTGATGTTGTAACATACTTGCTTTATCATATAAATAGTACTCATAATTTCTTTCTATTCACACTCATAATTTCCTTATAAATACACTTCAAATTAAGCTGTAAACATCAGTACACTTCACCCTAAACACTTCAGCATGGTATCATTAGCTCAGGTTTAATCATCACTTATGTTTTATTTGTTATTGTTTTGTTGTTTTATTTTTAAAGATTTATTTATTTTGATTGTAAAGTCAGATATACAGAGAGAGGAGGAGAGACAGAGAGGAATATCCTCTGTCCACTGATCCGCTCCCCAATTAACTGCAATGGCCAGAGCTGAGCCAGTCCAAAACCGAGAGCCAGGAGCTTCTTCTGGGTCTTCCACATAGGTGCAGGGTCCCAAGGCTTTGAGCCATCCTCAACTGCTTTCCCAGGCCACAAGCAGGGAGCTGGATGGGAAGCAGGGCCACCAGGACATAAACCAGCACCCATATGGGATCCTGGTGCTTGCAAGGTTGAACACTTCAGCCATTAGGCTGCTGCTCCTGGCCCTGCTTATCTTTTTAAATAAATAAGAGTGACAGAAAAAGAAGGAGAGAAGATCTTGCATCTGCCACAGTGGCTCTGGACTGGCTCTGGGCCAGGCAGGAGCCGGGATGCTGGGACC